GTGGGGGACAGACAGGGGAACACCAGAGAACCAAGCGTGTGGGGGACAGACAGGGGAACACCAGAGAACCAAGCGTGTGGGGGACAGACAGGGGACACCAGAGAACCAAGCATGTGGGGGACAGAGAGGGGAACACCAGAGAACCAAGCATTCGGGGGACAGAAAGGTTCCCAGTAAACCGGGTCGAGTTGCAGGTGGGAGTAGTAAAACAATGATTTTTTTTCCTCTCAGTTTTCTTCAAGATTTTCTCTGTAGAAATTGTGAAGCATTAAAAGCAGAAATGTCAAGGAGACTTTATTAAATTCTGAATAGATGAAAGAGAGAAGATGGAAGGAAATCTACATTAAGTGGAGCAGCGTTCACAGTAATTACAGATGTTCGGTGTAATAAAGTCTAGAAGGCAACACCTCATCTTGACCTATTTTGTTTTCCTCCACAGCACTTACTGTTCCTTAACACACTGATACGTTATCCATATTTGCTCGGATTATCTGAATGCCTTGCTAGAAATCCCACTCAACGCACACTGGGCTCTTGTTTTATACTCTTGGTTGATTTGTTCACAAAAGTGTGAACCAGGTAAGTGCTTGCACACAGGAGATGACTGATAATTTTTAAATGAATAAATGAAAAAAGTATAAAAATGTCAAATATGTAACATTTTGTTCTATTTTCTATTTTCCATAATTTCAGTAGATCTGTATGTAACACTATAGTAGAAAAATTCAAGCTGAATAAAAATTTTCATCAACATGATTTATAAATAACTTTGAAATTTGGAATTTTCTGATCGATTATGATTACACATTTTAAGCTCAATATATTTCCTCTACTGTAAAACATGTAGAGGAAAAAAAAGGCTTAATATCTAAATATCTAGCTTCATTCCAAAGTTTCATTAATATGTTCAAGTGATAAGAGATAGTGGTGATGGCCGAACAACAATGAATTTAACACCACTGAACTATATTTTAAAATAGTTAAAGTGGAAAATTCCATGTTTTATGTATTTTACCACCACAAAGTAAAAATAAACAAAACAGACTTTATAAACAAAAATTAGTCTTATTAAAAGTTCCACTTGGTATCCATTAGTTGGGAGGAAATTAATAGAGTGATTTTATGTGTATCAGAGTAACAGTTCTTACTATGTTTCAACTATCAGTAGAAAGATACTGGGGCTGTGAGATGCAGTATTTAGGGGCCACATGGTAACACACATAATGCTGAAGTTTCCAGTAAACTATACTCTCAGCCTAAATAATGTAACCTTATGTGAAGGTGGGGGATACAATAGAAGCAAAGTATTAAGAGTTAGAGGAGAGGAGAGTGATGAACAGACAATCACAGGTGCTCCTGGCATGAATAATAACGGTGTGCTCAAGTGCCTTGCATGTTGCAGGCAAAGAAAGACAAGGGCATGGATGGATACTGGGGAGAGAAGATAGTGTAGGTACTGCACTCTCCTAACAAGAAAAGGCATTAATGATTTAAAAAGAGAGAGAGATGCGGTGTTAAAGTAGGGAGCAAGAGATGGCTCGCTCCAGGCAATGCTGGCTCATGTCACACGGTGTTCTGGGAAAACCAGTTGTTAGGATGGAAATAATGCCCTAGAATGCAGTTTATCGCTACCAGAGAGAGTTTATCTCTCCCCCAGAGTGAGCAGTTTCTATTGTCATCGCCTGAATGAGGTATGGGGAATGGGTTCTCAACAAGCAACTCACACGGCTTCAGTCTGTGTCTTCACATTTCCCGTTAAATCTAGACCACGTGGGTCAACGGTGATGGAGGTCCCATGATACCAAGACGTAGTATGACCAATACACACAGGTTACACTCGGAACTCTCCATTGACTTTTCTTACTAAACTCACTACATTTGTTGATAATCTTCATATTATAAAATGTAAAATTCTATCATTAAATTTAATCCTCTCCATTATAATTTGAATGCTTTAAACTGTGCATAATTACAGAAATAGAAACTGAAAGAGATAACAATTTGCACAAGGTCACATGAAAGCGAGAGCCTGGGAGGGGACTCAGGCTGGCGCTTCTGACACCAGTGTGCTTCTCTCTACCGTGCGCAGCTGTGCTCCAGGACACTTGCAGGGAACAGAGGGATTAACAGCACTATTTTCTTCTTCAACTGCATCATTCTTCCTTGTTTGTCACTTTTACTTGTTTTAAAGATGTCATTCTTAGAAGAAACAGCAATTTTGAATTATCCTATGTCATCTTCCAAGTTTCTTATGATTTTGTCTCAACATATGTCAACCTTATAGTTACAGATTCTCACGTATAACCTCATTCACTCATAACAACAACTATATAAAGCAGGGGCATTTATTTGCCTTCATGCTTATAGATAAGAGGCTGAGGGCAACACAGTTAAGAAAGGTACCCCTGATTTTTCTGGGGAGTAAGCAGGCGTGTTATGAGTAGTTTCAGATTGTACATTCTTAAGCATTATGTCTGGTCCTTCATATGTGGGGGTGTTTTTTTCCAACAACTGACTTTCCCTGGCATACTCAGCTGGCCCATTTCTAATTTCCCTAATTTTAGAAATCACTTCCTCCACAAAGCCTTCCTTGCAGGGATAGGGCCCGAAATATGAGTTTCAATAGCACTTAAGGAAAGCTCAGCCAAGTCACCAAATTTACCAATCTACCAAAAACTTGATTGAGAAAACAATTCTTGAATATACACATTAATTTGTCAAACTCATC